AGAACCTTAAACATAAATTGTAAAAAACGTGTTTGTTAACTTCATGAAACCAAATTCAATGACTCATCATAATTCATAATAAAGGAGAATGTGAATTTAATAAATTAGATAGAGTGGTTATATAATTACAATAATTAATTAGAAATAGAATAAAGGTCCGACCAAGTTGTAAATGCAAATAAATCAAGGCATTGAATGATAGTGAAATGAATATAATCCACAAAACCTAGTTTTGTCTCCTGAAGATAGCCAGCAAGCATCACTGCTTTTTACCCGACCAAACAACTAGCTAACCTTACTACTTCTTCTTCTTTTTTTTTAAAGGAATTTTTTTATTTTAGTATTATTTTCCCTTTAATTACTATCTCTGCCTTCTGACTGTTGCATGGAAGCCTTTAAGCTGTTCTATGCACAAATTCTAACAAATTAAATGCCCTTACATACATAAATAAAATAATGGTCTTGTATATTACTCCCTCCGTCGCTAAATTATATTCCTACTTCTCTCTATTATGTGAGGAATAAATGCTATAAATAGGAATGTAATTTAGGGATAGAGGGAGTACTCCGTATATGGTATCGTATGTACTCCCAACGGATATACGAAGTATGTATATAGTACAAAAGAAGCTAAAAGTGAAAACATTAAACATGAATCAATACTTAAATTATTATAATTTTATGCTTGTTACTTTACGTGGAAATATATTTATATCTCATACGAAATATATAAATCCCTTTGGGCAACCTATAGTATATGGCTAAACATGCGATTCAACTCGGTTATTTAAATGTTCTACTATTACTTGACATGTTTTTTACTGCACAACTTTGATCATTAATATATATTGATTTGAACCCAAAAAGAACAAAACGTATTATAATATACTACAATACATATTGATATGAATCCAAAAAGAACAAAAACATCGCATAATAAAATATATTTTTTTCCTTCTTATTTTCATTTTTTTAAAACAGTAAGATATGTGAATGATGTCAAAACCCCCGCAAAACAGCTAAAAAAGCGAAGGTGGTATTATATTGGCTACAAGGGCTACAACTGGTTAAACAATGATAAAATAATGAATGGTGTCTTACTTTGAGAATTACATAGAAAGAAAACAATGGCCTAATGAAGACAGACATACGTTTAAAGTATGAATAAACTATTTAGTGAAAACAATGGCCTTTGATTGCTGTTAAACTACTACGGAATACAAGTATATTGGAAGTTGAAGAAGTTGTTATTACAAATTGATTTAATCCAAACCGACCAAACCATCACTATTGCGTTATATTATGTGAAATTTTACACATAAAAGTGCAACATCAATCTCCACGCCTTTGGATAAAGGATGGTCCAATATACTTGCTAATAATATTAAGTAACCCTTGAAGATATGGGGTCAATTGGGAGATGATATATTTTCTAAAATATTACTCCATCCGTCCCCAAAACTACGACCATTTTGGGTTAATTTTACGGTTATTATGAAATTAAATAAAAATAAATAAAAACTTATTGAAAAGATAAATTTACACGAGGTTTGTAAAAAAATAGAGAGATAAAGTGTTAAAAAAAATGAAAACGCAAAATTTTATATGAAGAAGCTAACTTTGCACAAATATTGTTGTAAATTGATAGGTATTTTAATTTAATACAAATGGGTCAATCATTTTGGGACTAAAATTAGGCCAAAAGGGTCGAAGTTTTGAGGACGGAAAGAGTACTTGTATTGAGTTTAATAATGTTAAATTAATTAGAAATTCATAATCATTTTCCATGTTGTTCAATGGTATCTTTAGGCTATAGTTGCATTAAACAAATTGTAGTTAACAAGAATATAGGGAACATCAAACGACATCAAGATTTTTTTTTAATCAAGGACATCAAAATTTTGTATTATTGAGCTTTTGAAATGGGAACTGAGTTACAACTACTCCCTCCGCTTTTAAATACTTGCTCCATTTCTTTTGGACACGCATGCCAATGCTAAGCTTTGATCACTAATATCTTTAATTATCAGTAAGTAAATATTTTAACAATTGAAAATATATTCATTGAGTTGATTGAATCCTTTCTAAACCATTGTTCCTGTAAAAATAGATAAATAAATCTCCGTACTCCGTATAAAACAAGGGGGGTATATTTAGCAGTTTCATGAGGTACGGAATGAGTGAAAAAAACTTCAATGAGGTTAAAATCAAGAAGCAATCAGGTTGATAAGCAAAGTAAAAGTAGAAAGTGAAACTTTATAGCAAAGACTTTACATGCATACAAGATCAAATCTACAGTCAAATTCAAATCAGAAAGACTAGCCTCGAATCTCGATAGTTTATACTTGGGATTTGGTAATGTAAGAGTAACAGATTTGAAGCTCAACCAAAAGTTACTACTTTATCATATTCTACACTTCAAATATTGCATACCACAATGTATCTCGAATTCCACCATCTTTTTCTGTTTTTGGCATGTACGGAGTAGTTTTTATTAATAACTTATGGTTTAATCTGGGTTTTGATCGTATTAGGAAAATGATTACGATCTATAATGTCGTGTTCTTTTACACAATTGTTATTGTATGTATAGACCACATACAACAATTGTATGAGTAGCCTTTACCCAGCATACATAGGTTAGACACGAGTACATAAGATTTAACAATTTGTCTAGATATGTGGGAAGAAGTTCGATTTAATTACAAAGTTGACAACAAGGGTAATGAATACAAAAGGTTTTACTCCTGAATGTTGTAATAAGGTTGGATTTGAGACCATTTGAAGCCTACATGTCATTGTCGATGAGACTTAATTGACACAAAGGTATTAACGTAGTAGCTAGGGATTAAAGATCGATTTTCATATCGAGAGTATTATAGTCTTTTTTGGGGAGGTTTTAGAGCATTTCGATTTCAAAATTATTCAAGGAAAAATATGGACATACTGCCAAAATTTTACACTCACTTAATTTCACTGGTTACTGAAGTATATTCCAATTATTTTGCTTCAGAAGAATAAGATTACTTTCTTATTTCAGGAGTTAGAATCTTCAAAGTACTTCGTATTTCATATCATAAAGGTAGTTTGTTTCAAACTTAATATGGCTAAGAATCCATTATTGGGGTAGAACATCAATTTCAATAACACTGGTTTGCTTACTTCTTTTGGCTGGTTTTGTTGTTCTTTGTTGGCTTCTTGTTCGTGTGTTTATCTGGCTGTTAAGTTGTTCTCTTTTGCTCCTTCGGATTTACGTTTCTCTAATATAAAATAAAAAAAATATAATAGGCTACGGAGTAATATGTTAGCCATTTAACAACTATAAAATTCACTAAAATATCTTAAAATAGGTGAATTCAATCAATCAAAGCCTTAATCCCATAAGTGGGGTCGGCTACATAAACCAAAAATAATTATTTTGTATAGTCATCCACAAAAATCTTCCTCCTCCCAGAAAGACTTGCGTGGACCTGGTCCACAATAATATTATTGTGAACCTGAGGTTTATACATACGCAACTGACAATATATTGAACATAGTGACCCTTAGTTTTTCCATTTAACATAGTAACCTTTATTAAAAACTAGTATAACGTTGAATATTATTGTGAACTTAAAGTGCAACGTTATGACACTAATTTTAACATAATGACCTTTATTATTCATATTAACCAGTATATAAAATATTTCATTAAAAAAATTAACCTCTTATAGCCTATATATTACCAAAATCACTTTTATTTCAACCTTTTTTCTATTATAGTGACCCTTTTTTTACTAATAAAACAACCATAATTTCCTTAATGTTAGTGGTCCACAATAAATTAGTGTGAACCAGGTCCATTAAAGAATATATATCCTCCTCCTCCTCCATCATTTATCATCAAATGCCTCATGCTCATGCAAATCCATATACCCTAAAATGGGTGAATTATATATTTAAATGGAGTTCATTGCTCAAAAGAGATAAGTAATCGACTTTTGAATTATTTTATCTAGTGTTAGGTAGCTAACACTTAACCATTTAGCTTCACTCATCTACAAAGTACTCTATATAGAATTTTGGTTAATGCTTTGCTCTCTATACTCTGTCGATCATTCCATTAATTCTCATTTCCAATGTCGATGTGAATAATTTTAGGAATCTCCAGTTCATGGACTAATAATACAAAGTATTACTCGCATCTCAGTAGCTACAACAAACTAATTCCTGGCATTAACTAAACAAGCAATAACTTAGTGCTTTTTCTTCATGCAATTCCATTTTCAACGGAACCAATAATAAAGAATAATTGGCTCATCAAAGCAGTATTGGTTATTGGAAATACTAATACTCCATAACTTAATAAGACAGTCATTGTATTCTGCACTAAAAAACAGATTACTAGCTACCACTCAACTGTTATCATATCGTCCTATGCCTAAGGTTGCGTACATCCAACTCCATATCCGACTCTTGATGGGAACCCTAAAGACTACAGAGGGCATTGACTTAAGGGTCAGACCAATTTCTCGAAAAATGCTGAATATGTCCCAAATACTAATGATGCTTCAGAAGGATTTACATCAGCAAAATCTTCTACCATTTCTCACTGTTTCGACTTTCCCAGGTCCTTGGTATACTTGGATGAAATATAAGTATATAACATAAAATCTAGGATGAGGCTACTCCTCATTAGCTAGTTTGGGATATGGTTGTTACTCTAGCTCCTCTCTTGGTTTTTCCCAATACAGCTTGCATTCAAAATGGATAGCAGATTTTGAACTTAGTTTTATTATCTATGTAAAGCACAGCATATTTTCATGGAAATCAGTAACTTCAAAACCGGGAAAATAGGATGCCTATTCTTCCTACAAAGGGTGTTTCCTCCCAATCAAACATAGCTTTCATTGCATTTTATGACTCCAAAACCTCCCTACGTTCTATAAAGAACGGCAATGTCATTGTTACTGAAAACAGAATGAAAATGCAGTATGGGATATGAACAGTCAACCGGAGACTTCACGAAACACAGCACAGCAATAATAGCATGGATATATACCACATAGTTATGTATGATCCAGAGAGCAAGTCAGAAAAGATGAATAATAGTTTTACAAACAGGAATTTGTGCGTATCTTACAGCTTAGATGCATGAGCAAGTGTTTTACTCAAAGCAGTAGCAGCCTTTGAACCAGATGCACGGCTGAGATGCTTGCAGATGAAATCTCCAGCAACCAAAAGCTTTTGTAAGTCAACATGAGTCTCTACTCCAAGTCCATTCAACATATACACAACATCTTCAGTGGCTACATTACCAGATGCACCCTTGGCATATGGACAGCCACCGAGACCAGCGATAGATGAGTCCACAGCACTGATACCCATCTACAAAGAAAAAAAATGAGTTTCTTGATAGGGGTTCAAGAAATTGCACAGCTAATGCCACTATGTTCACCAAGAGTTTTCTAAATGCACGACATGACATGATAAGTTGACAACTATTTAGTTTCAAAGCAACTATGTGGGGTACGGGAGGGGGGTATAGCAGCATTAAAAAAAAATGAGATGTTAGCGCTTAGATACTTCTTAAGTACGTAGTACAATTTATATGGTTCCTAACAACAAACTAAAATACGTCAATGAATTTCTTACTTGGAGAGAGAGGAGAATATTTGAAAGAGCTTGTCCGTATGTGTCATGAAAATGGACAGCAAGCTTCTCAACTGGGACAACATCGATAACAGCTTCAAGCATTGGAATAACAGTACCTGAAATAGAAAGAAGAAAAGATTAGCAAAATGATGCCTTAAATAAAGATAAGCAAACAGAGGATGAAATAAGAGTTAGATAGAAAATGGCACGCCAGTGGATATCACAAGTCATTGTTACATACTTACATACACAACCAGAACAGCATCACCTTCAAGAAAAACAGTGTTCAAAAAAGTTTCTACTAACAGATTTGCTGGTTTTTCAGTTTCTTTATAGAATGAAATGGTTTGACAAAACATTCTAGAGGCCAAAAACCATCTAAATGACAATTTTTCTTAATTATTATTAAGGGTAACAAATACACCGGCATGTTTCAAATGCTAACTTCAGATTTGGTAGACAAACAATGAATCTGACCAAAAACACATCTAAGCTATCTGCATGAAAATGGTAATCCCTTTTTCTCACAATGCCTCCTTTTCAGGCTAAATTCTCTTTTCATGTTCTCATAACAGTGAGATAGTGAAATAAAAGGCGCTTTGGTTGAGCATTTGGCCAGTATAATTCTCAAAGAGGTATGATTCAGGAATATTATAAGAGGTTAAAAGTAATTTCCACATTAGTCTCATAACATCTCAAGTATACCAGTCCACTCCCTGATCACAATAGAATTAGACATCTGGAGTTTATAGGTGATCGATAATTACTGTAGGTGATCTGTACTTGAGAACTGAGAAGTGATAATAGATAATGGACTTTATTGGAAAACTTTGAAAAAAATATGAACTTGATTGACAGATTCATCAAAAACACTTTGAGAATTGCTTGGTAGTCAGTACCCATTCTCTTATAAACTCCAAATGTCTAAGATGCTGACAGATCAGACTACATCGCTGTAATGAAGGAGACAAGTTCTACAAACAAATCACATAAACCACAATTTCAAACCATGATGATTGATGACACAAAATATTTGATACGTGATTGAGCAAAAATCATCAAAGTGGACCTCCATATTGAAGGTTACCTGGAGTCCCAACTCCTATGGTATCACCAAGAGAGATCTCGTAACAGCCCATATTAGATACCTCTCTAGCAACATATGCTACTTGAGAGGGTGAGACTGCTCCTTCAACTGGGCACCCCACAACACATGATATATATCTGTGAGAAGATTTTCAACCGTTAGCACCATCCTAAATTAAAATACAAATAAACCCATGAAGCTATTACCAAAATACATGTTAGACAATTTTTTCATTCTAGATAGGAGAACATTTTCTTAGACAGAAAAGTATTGCAACTACATAAAATAGAGAGCTATAAACATTTCAGATTCTCAATCATCGGAGACCATCAAACGTTCTCAACCACAATCACAGGAAAATCACATACCCCGCTACAGCTTAATTTGTTTTACCGCAATTCAATATTATAGAGCACGAACATACCAAACTATGCATCTATCTTATAGAGCATGAACATACCAAACTATGCATCTATCTTATAATCAATAGTACAACAAAAAGTATGCAGGCCCACATTGCAATATCCAGAACCAATAGTTCTCTGTAAGATACACAATCAAAAGTGAAGTAAAGACAACACTGAGGTTGAAAATCTCTTTCACTCTTAACTTCTTAAGGATATCAGATGAAGAAGGATGCATATACCTGATATAGATGTTCAACAGGTTATCTTTTGCTGTTTATATTCGCTTTTTTTTTTCCTAAAGTACTTCAAAATTTTGAAGGGCATGACCAAAAGTCATAGCTTTAAAAATATGCAACGAACTAGCGTGGTGCGTATAAATTAAATGAACGGAAGGTTGTTTTGGATAGATAAAGCTTAAAGCTTGCGTACATCGTTAATGGCTTTAGGCCATCACTCTCCAAGAACTCTCTAAAATAATAACATTCTGCCTACTGTTTCCTTCTCTCCTTTTCCTATTTATACTAAGGCTAACAACTACAAACCTAATAATACTAGACTACCCATACTGCCCATACTACAATTGATAACTACTAACATACTAAACTACCCATAATACCCTCCCCTAAGTCAGTTCATTACAAAATACTACACAGGAAAACAGATTCCAGAGACGGAAATCTTTAATACAAGAATCAACCCTAGAAACAGCTCTAGCTACTCACATGCATACACAAAATGCAATGATAAATAGAACTATTGTTTGCACAATAGCCATCGTTGCAATCTTGAGATGATTTACAATATACAAAAAGACAGTGACTGTTTCCTATGCTATGATTTAAAAATAAGATCAAAGGGAGGAAGCTTTGGCACACAAATACGTCACATCCAATGAAGTAAGAAAACTTAAATGAACATAGGCAGGAAGGTAAGAGCAATTGCAAGATTTAAAACAGAATTACTTTATACTAGTTTTGTACCCCGGCGATGCCCGGGTAGTTTATGGATTTTTAAGATAAAATTAAATTTTAAACTGAAAATAGAATTCTAAATTAACTTTTTTTCTACAAAGTCAATCTATGTTATTTTGATAAATTGTATAGAAATAAACAATATTCGCCTTGTCTTAAGTGATAAAACAACAATTATATATTCAAATTCTAGTCTTGATTAACGAAAGAGTACTATGTGAATTAATTAGTAGAAAGTTTATTTAAAGTGATCAAACAACACTAATTAATCAATTAATCAAGTCCGTAATACAAAGTCAATCTTACTAAATTTGATAAAAAAAAAAGTTAGTTTAGAATTCTATTTGAAAAGAATTTTAGGATACAGTTGTAAGTTTTTTTTTTTTTTTTTTTTTTGATAAATACCAATATTTCAGAGGTACAAATTGAATTATAATTTTATTCAAAAAAATTATTAGACTATAATTCACAAAAATTATCATATAAACTTATTTTTTTTATCATAATACTTTTTGGATAGAGGATATCATCCCACCAATTGAGGATATAAAAAATCTACATTTTTTCAGTCTGGACTGACAAAATATTTCGTCAGTCCGAATTGACACAATACCTTCTCAATACATAATTGTAATGCATGTGTACCAAACTTATCACATTACCCCGGCCATGTCATAAATTTAATTTGATGTTGATCAAATAAAAAAGTTTAGGAATAATCGAGATATCAAAGGTTTATGATCATTACATACTTTACCTTTTAGATCATATGTTACCCTTCATTTACTTTTAGTTTTTATCAACATAATAAAACACGTGTAAAAAAAAATCATATTCTATCGGACACTCCATTCCATAATGTGGTCACAAACTTTAAAATAAATCGGGTATAATGGATATTGTAGATTCATTGTTAAGTCTGTTGTCCTAAAATGATTAAAAGTTACACTTAAGATCAAAAAAAGTTAGCATCATATTATTATAAATTCATCCATTTAATAAAGACTGACAATCATTTTTTAGCATCATTTTTTCCCTAAAAAAATTGTAACACTACTTAATAAACAATTCCTAATTACCTCTCGATTTCTAGAGATCTCGGGATCGGTTCTCACCCCACCTTTGTGACTTTCTAAACACACACACAAAAAAAAAAAAAAAAAAAAAAACTACCCAAATTGGTGCACTCTTTAAAGACATGGATTTTGCTAGATATGTGCAAATATAAGTTGACTCTTGCCATTGTGTATAGTAAGCTTATGTCCTAAATGTACCTTACTTCCATTGTTATTTCATTTGCCTTAACCTGACAATGAAAAACTCGATCCAATTCTAGGTAATTAAGGTAAATTTTTTGTCTTTAATATTTCATAGTATTGAATTGAGATTTTTTGTTTTTTTTTTTTAAGGGAAGTATTGAATTGAGATTTAATTATGAAATATGTTATTGAATGTTTGTCAAAAGAAATTGTACGATACTTGACGAAAAATTAAAACGCTAAATGATGTTGTCTTGTGGCCTAATTATAAATTTATTATTTGGTATTTTATCGAAAATATAACTCTAAACTAATAATCTTATTCTAAAATTCTACCCTAGTTTGATTGAAAATAGAATTCTTACCTAATTTTTTATCTTATGAAATCTAGCTAAGGTGGCGCGACACTTAAACGGTTTTTTATCATATGAAGTCTATTTAAATCTATCCAAGGTGGCGCGACACTTGGCATTACACTTGGCGAAAAGTTAGAATGCCAAGTGTCGCTATTTCGTGACCTGGCTAAAAGTTTAGCTTTATATATTAGTTATATGATGCTTAGTGACACAATAGTTTTCCAGAAAATTATAATTAATCAGAACTGCAATACGCACCCACGGACAGGTAAAGAAAGCTTTTCTGCAGCACTAGCAACATCACGGTATCGGATCAGACTCTCTTCAACAGTACAATTGATATTTGATTTTGAAAAGGACTCTGAAGCTGAAGCAAACACTGCTACTTCCTTGGCACCTGCTGCAACAGCTGCTTCTAGACCCTATTTAATTGGGATCATGAAATATCAATGTCAACCACAAGTGTCTCATCTCACTGAGATTTGCATGCACAACTGGAACAGAGGTTACCTTAAGATTAGGGGTTAATACAGGAAATTTACTGCCTTGTAAATTTTGGACAGCTTGCATTACTAACTTTGCGTCTGCTAGCTGTATCAAAGAAGTATACAATGATGAAACTGCAGTTCAGATTCCAGGGAGGAGTTTTGTATAAGATCACAGAACTGAACCCCCACCCCCCCCCCCCTCTCTCCCAACACCACCCATGGCCAGAGGCCCAGAGAATAGGAAGAACTGAAGTGCAAATCAAGTAAGAAACCCTTATAAGCAATTACTACAAATCTACAATAGTGGATCTTGAGAAATATCTTACCTGAGGAACCCATTTTGGTGACACGAAACTAGTGGCCTCAACAACAGGCAGACCGGAAGATGCAAGCATCTTTATCAACTCAATTTTCACATCAGTAGGTACTATATTTTTCTCATTTTGCAGGCCATCCCTGGGACCAACTTCTACAATCTTCACATATTTGGGTATCCTCTCCAGCAGCTGCACTGAAATAGAGTACATGTTAAGCAATAACAGAAAATAAAGAAAATATATCTCAAGGAGGTCCAATTAAGCATAAGCTTATTCTTAGAGTATCTAACAGTGTACAAACTTAGATTCTACATACCTTGTTCTCACCATTGCCCTGGGAACTGTAGTGATGAGTTTGTAAAGAACAAGCACCATTAGGACTCACAGCTGCTCTGTGTTTCCCATATACAAAAGCGGATGAGCTCAACGCACCGTCAACTGCATTTCTCCGTGATACATATGGTCTTACTATTTTACCACTGGAAGCGATGGGATAAAAAGTAAGTTAGAATATTTTGGAAATAACAGTCTCTAAAAAGAAATAATAATAATAAATAAATAAATAAAACTCAGAATAGCTTCTGGTCCCTTGCGATGCACGGGATGCTAGTTAATACAAGTAGACAAATTAAATCAAACTCTAATTACATAAAGTTATCTGTGCTAATGTGCTATTGAGGAATTGCGGAATTTATGTCATAAAAGACTTCATTTCTGCTATAGAGGATTTTCTTCGGTGGAACAGACCACAACTTTCTATCAAACAGGTTATCTGTTCAGTTCTTGGCATGCTATATGCTAGTCATTTGCTTTTATTCTTTTCAAGTCAGAACATAAGACAGCTCAATGAGTCAAGTCATCAACTAATGAAGAATAGAAAGAAAAGAAAATGTATGTTCTCACTCTTAATAAATCCTACTGAACAGAATCAGAATGAGAATTTTCTTTCTATAGTTTACCAACAATATCTTGACTTCTTACTACGTGATGGAAAACAATTTAGGGAATTGAGAATAGAAAAATACATGTGTATCAAACTACCAACTTATGGTAATGGAACCAATTTCTAGGAAAAATTATTACCATCTTTCATAATATAAATATTAAAAAAGAAAAATTCCAATGTTTGGGTGCTTAAACACACACAATACTACTCTATCCAAATATATTGAACATTTAATATAGCTTGTGTACTCACTTGTCAGCCATCGGAAGCTGCTGACCCTTCCATCTATTGCTATATGTTACATCGGCAGCTGCATCTTTCCTAGATACACAGCCTACTGTTGACAAGCCCCCTGATAAAACACCATCTATGCTTTCCCCCTTCTGAACACTGAATTGATCCTCCACGCTCATCACAAATGATGAATGGAAAGACGAAAAAGCCCTCCTCACCAAAGGTCTATTACGAACCTTTGATAAAAACATTGCAGATATAGCGACAAAAAAAGAAAACCAAACTGAATGCTGTATCAACAACCCTTCTCAAATGTATCAACACCTTTCATCATCCCTGAAGCCAAAATCAAAATGCCCATATGACAAAGATGAGCAGAATATTACAAATTTATGATTATGACCAATTCACTAAAACAACCTATCATCCTTGATATAAGACATAAGTTAGCCAGTTATAGCTGCTTCGCAATCACACTTCATTTTAACATCCACCAAATAATCATATAGAATGTATTAGTATCTAAACACAACCGGCAGACCACCATCAATGGTTGGAAAAGTTCTTATACACTGAAGAGCCTAAATTTGAAAGTTATGCTTTTGTTCTTCTTCTAAATCTTTCAGTCTTTCCATGTAATCAATATTTCCCCACCAACCCCAATTATCCTTCTACTAACAAGAAAAGCAGATTGTACAAGACCGTAAGTCATGCGTGCTCCCGTGTCACCAAAAGGATTGTGTGAAATAAGTAACATTAGAGTCCGCATTCAGCAATTTAATCACCAAAAGTCATCAGCAAAAATGGAAAATCTTTTTTTTTTTTTTTTTTTTTTTTTTTGTGTGATCAAAATCAAGTTCTACTCCTACTGAAAATCTTACTCCATAATTTTATCAAAATCACTCGATAATTCTACTAAAAGTATGGTTATGATTTATTAGTATCAAATAGTACTTGATAATTTTCATTTGCACCAAAATCTCTTCCGCTAAATACTCAATCCTCCCTGGAATTAGTCACTAATCAAAATAAATTCAGATTTTCATTGTCTAAATAGTTCATAAATTCATCACGAAAATATACTTGTATAACATTCTAATTTTATAATTGTGCACTTTCACAATCAAATCAATTTCAATAATTCTAAACAAAATCAAATTTAATTAGGAATTCTATGCAATTCAAACACAAATTAAACCTGGAGTAAGCATGTTTAACAAATAATACGAGTAATGAATTGTATCAAAATATAATCATTCTGTAATTTTGCTAATTACCCCCACACCCTAAAATAAAACTAAATAAATAATATCGAAAAAATTAAATTATAATAGAAAGAGAGAAATTACCCAGTTTCTAGAATTGCGCAAATATCACAAAGATTGAAGCTTTTGGAGAAATCAAACAAAAGGTTGAAGAATTGAAGATCAAGGCAGAGCGCGCTGAAGAAAAAATAAATTGCGGGTCAAATACTACAACATTGATCAAATTTATGCTTCAAGTAAATGGGAGCAATGGGCGGGCCAACCCGACTAATGTCGGGTCATTACGGGCCAGACTAATGTTTGATATGGCTAGGTCTCATAGAGCTGGTCAGATGGAACGGGTTGATCCACCTGGCAAACCATTAGTCCACGTTTCTTAATAACCCTAAATTTTATTAACGCATGTAAAAACTTACTTGAAATAAGCGTTCGGTAGGGCTTGAGCTCGTGACCTTAAATTTACGAGGTGAGTTCCTCCAACAACTCCACCAAGCTTGCTTGATTGTGGGAATGAGAATTAGAGGATAGGATTGACAATAAGGTGTTTAAAAATGTATAGGGTGAGCAATTCATCATACAAGTGTTTAGTATGACCTAAATTAGGTTGGGTAAATCCATTGGTAATTACTAAGTATGTAATAAAAAGTTGTTAATGTGTCACCTTAGGTTAAAAAGTCAAATTGCAATAAGTTTTACTGTCAATTAATCAATTTGTTTATTAAAAAAAAAAAAAACCTATCCCATGCTAGTTAATCTTAACTGAGTTTAACCAAGTACAAACTACAAAGTACGCATATTGATGGTGAAAATCCAATAAAATGGGTCAAACTACTAGTATTATAAATAGTTATCCAAAAAGTCTGATCTCCCCCTATATTGCCAACTTCTTTTTAACAAGCAATCAACTTAAATGATCCTCTTCACACCAAAAAAAAACTGTCCACAGCCCACAAGTGACGCGAAGAGAAGAACCAAATAGCATAAAGAGCAATTTGCTCAACAGCATAACAGATTGGTATTTGCCTCAATACACATGAAATACACCACTTCTAATTCTCTTCTTTACATGATGTCCTCCCGTTTTTTTTCCGAGCTCTTTGTTGAAAATGTTGATGATGGGCAATGGTTGCTAAGTTAGGGACAATGAACCCACCAGCTGGAGGTTTTTACATCCACTGTCTAAAACTCTAAAATCTACATAAGCTAAAAATTTACAACGCCATCACATATTGACACTAGACACATCCAAACTTCTAGAAGTGGAAACTTAAGAGCCCATTTGATAACTCTTCCTTCTCATTTGCATAGATTTATCCGTTGTCATGCACATGGCTGCGGCCCAGCAGCTTAGTTGGAGAAAGTCCTTATAGTCACAATGTCCATTCCAGGTAATACTGAGATCAATTCCTGTATCTTCAGCAATCCTCACTGACAACTTTCAACCATCCACCGGTATTTTTCTTTGGGTCATCACAAAGACTGAGATCTGAATCTTCACTCTTAAAGGTTTGGATGACAGTTTTTGCTCCCATCATAATGAGCCTCTCTATCATAAACAACTGATAGTTATTCTCTATCACAGGATCAACGATCCAACTGTAGTTTGATGAATATGCCAATTTGTACCTGCAAAAACCAAAGAACAAAATAGATAATCTTCCAAAATAAACGCAGAGTCGCTTTTTTAAAAAGGCAAAGAGATACTACATCTTAAGCACACTCTTTATTAATTAAAAAATAAATTAAATTAAAAACTTACGACCTTACGTTCAGTGATACAGAACAAAATTATAATTCTACATTTCTACTATACTAAACCAAGTAATTTGACATGTCTATATATAGAAAGTGCTAATACTAGAGATCTTTACTAAATGAGAATGAAACCTTTCACTTGGCTCCTTTTGGCTAAAAGAAAACGTTTTCTTCTTTGGGTAAACAATTTGTACCTTACTAGAAAAGTTATACATAAAAGGAAAATGGAAGTGGAAACGAAAATTAATGGGACAAGAGTCTTTTCTTTTAAAACTTTGTTTTCTTTTTTTTTTTTGGGGGGGGGGGGTAAAGAGTGGGGGGGGGGTAAAGAGTGGGGGGGGGGGGTAAAGAGTGGGGAGGGGAAACCTCCATAAGGAAAATGCTTTTTATCATAGGGAGAACTATTTTCCACCAATGGGAAAAATTTGCCGCTCTTTCAAAGACCAAACCCTCTCTAATCAAAAAGTTTATAACTGTCTTATAAACCTCTTGCACTAATCTCCACACACACACACACACACACACACAAGAGGAAAAAAAAAAAAAAGAGGGCGGAAGGGGTTGGTAGGTGGAACAACATTTACACCAAATATGTCATTAGAGGTGGTACTAGATAAAATCTTATCATAACCGAACAATACAAACTAACAACTTGGATTTCAGTCTTCTACTCTCAGTCTCATAGAAAACCACTTGCTACTAGGACTTGGGATTAGTTTGTCTGATTTCATCCACAATGAGTTGGTAATCACCAATATTATAAAAGAAATAGGAACGTCAATTATTATTTACTGGGGGAACGGGATTGTTTTTCAATAATAAAATCCATTACATGCTGACAGGATTAGGCAGGTTAACTTTAATCTGATAGGATGTGTTGGTATTTCGCATACTACCTATATTAACAAAGGTTTTGAAGCATGCTACCCTACATAATCACATAATACTATTATTTAACAAAATAAACAGACCAGATTAATGTGACAGAGGGAACAGACAGTAGCCCCGCCACTCCCAAATTTGCAAAGATTCCAAGCTTCCATAATTCACACTGGAAATCCTCAAAAGCATAAGTAGATTTTTAAGCTTTCTATCCATATAATTTCCTATCTCTCTCCTCCCATCTCCCTTTTCTTTCAATTCTTTTCCTTCATCAAGTTGGTCAAACACATAGGCTAACAAATTTTGTTAACTGCAAAACTGTAGATGTAAAAAAGAATGTGAAAAATCAGGCTGGTTAAGAGCTCTACAGGATCTCTATATTTTCCCTACGTGAAGTTTTGCAAGGTGCCATGACCATAGCAAAATGGCAATTGAGCTCAGGAAAGGGAAACCATGATGGTTAAATAAATAAATACTCATGTCAAATTAGAAATTGTAAACCACAAAGAAACTAGATTTTTCCAAAAAAAAAAAAAAAAAAAAAAAAAAAAAAAAACAACAACAACAAAGAAACTAGACTTCTCATACAAACAAAATGGTGTAAAAGGATCAATTAAAATAATCCATGCATTCCATAGAGCCCAATTATTATACTGGAGATTGAAGATTTAAAAACCATTATCTTTCAATCCACACAAGATAAGCCAGAACTCTATTGGAGAAAGCTAACGAAGGTTACCTGACACCAAGAGGTGAAAAAAATCCAGGCTCCCCCTCATTTGATGCAATGAAAAGGGTTCGTCCTGGTGGGATCCATTTTGCTATTCTTTTAAGAATACACTCTGGCTTTGTATCCCTCTCAACATGAGGATGTCGACTCCTCACAACACCAAACCTATCTTTCCTTGTTTTTAATATATCACCCCGACGGACATGCATAGCATCATAGTCACCAAGCATTGCTTTTACCTGTATTTTTCAAATGACAAGGAGTGATGGCTCCCAATTTTAAACAAATTTCCACAAATGACAAGTATAATTATTGCATAAATCCAAGGTCAAAACAGATAACTTGAATACTTTTTCATATAAAATGACACACATTTTATTATTAATGTAGAAAGATGACACAACATAACGTAGTCATATTCTTAATACTAGTATGTGATATAAAATGAAAAAATATTTGGTGTTCATCAAACGCAGACATGCACTTATGAGATTATAGAAAACCTTCTATATCCAAAATGTTAAACTAGTTCCTTCTTTCATTAGGCATCAAGATCATTTATATATAGCCTAAAGAACAGCTCTTTCCACAGTTCTCAGTGATGGACAATTAGACACTTCTGAGTTCTGACACAACTCTTTAAATTGTTATTTGACACTCGAATTTAAAAGCTAACTTGAATCTCAAAATCTTCAAACCAGTTTGTAATCAACTTTAAAAGGGAACAAAAGGGGTGGTGCCTTGTTTGATAATACAACACAAGAAAATAATTTTATATCTGCCATATACTATTGTTAAGTCATTTTCTTTCCTTACTTGAGTTATAATGGTGAATGTTTGTTGTATCTCACTTTTCTCTCCCCAGGGGCTTTACTATTTGTTTTGTAGGAAATACTATAATGCTTGAAAATGAAAAATGAGGCTATTTAAAACTGGATGTTAGTGCATTGTTGTTGCAGCACAATTAAGGTGGCATATAGTCAATTGATGACTAACTTGCAACGGGGCAGCTCTTATCCCCAAGTTGGCTTATATCAGTTGGGAGGAAGTTGCAACCCTTGCAAGGATCTCAAGAACATGCAAGTATTAATGGAGTTGTCTTTGGAGTCGCGAATATTAAGCTTAGTCAGCCAAAGACATGACTTATGGATCAAGCTTCGAGTAGTTTGCATAAACATCGCCAATGAGCAACACATTTAGTGTGTAAATTAAAGGTAACCATGACCTATTCACTACCTGAGTGATGCAGCGAATGCACCCAGTCCATGAAGCTCAACATCAGCCATGGCACTGGCATATAACTACAGCCCAACCAACCTACTCCATGAGCTGTGAATAGCTTGATTTCTGTGGGCCTATCCAATCTGGTGGCCTACTTGTGTAGTTGTTAGCCAGTTACAAGGAGGTTTAGGACATCAAGATCTTCATAATACCTTCTGCATATAGATAGACGTTGTTTCGGACTTTGTTAGGAGTTAGGACTTCTTTATACTACGGTTTTGCATGATATTCAGCAGCAAGAGGATAGATATTAAAGAGCTCAAGACCTTAATTTGGATCAGCATGACCATCAATTACAAATTTAAGTTAAAATTTACTTCCTTTTCTCACTAATTCAATGACTTCTTAGTTTTTACGTCTTTTTTTTTCATTTAGTTATTCCAGTCATGAGTGAAGAGATTAAGTGATGAGTCAAAAGGAAGCAGTACCATGGGGAAAGACCTCAAAATTAGTTTTTGGAAAATTTGTCCAGGACAACCTTTTAAAAGACAGTTTTTGTCTAGGACAACCTTTTAAATTTTTTTTAGCAAACGCAGACCCTATTATAATTTTTTTTGTTAACAACAACCAACCCCCACTTTCAGGCGTTGACCCACCGGAATCCGGCGTTGACCCTCACGTGACTTGCACGTGACCCTTATTTCTCCTAATTGCACCCCACCATCGTACCACCATCATCATTAGCCACCACCATCATCACCGACCACCATAAGAACCACCGCACCAGACCACCAACACCATGAACACCTTCAAAACCAGACCACCAACCCCAAGGCCACCATAAACACCTTCGACATCGCACCATTACAACCACCAATCTTCTTCATCTTCTTTACCGCCGCCACCACCACCACCACCACCAGCCGCATTATTCTTTGTCTCAATTAAGGATCTCTGATTGACACGAAAGAGAGAGAATTGGGTGTGCAATCTTAGAAAAAACAACGGATTTCGATCAGATCTAAAGCTAGGGTTGGTATTTTTGTGGTGGATTTCGATTTGATGCGGTCTACGGGGGAGGGTGAGTGAGGCCGGTAGGTTGAATTCCTGCCGTGAGGTGGCTTTTATTTGCTGCGAGGAGGGTGATTGTAGGGTGGGGTTTCGGGATTTGCTAATGCTTGGTGGTGGGGTTTTGGATCCAAATTTCGCTGGTGGTGTGGTTTCGGTGGTGGTGGGGTAGCGGATTTCGCTAATGGTGGGTTCAAGGTGGTGGTGGAGTTTATAGTTGTGGTGATGGTGGTGGCCTGGTGGGGGTGGTGGTTCGAGTGGAGTACAAACAGTGGTGAAGGGGTGTTAACGCCAGATTCTGGTGGGTCAACGCCTAAAAGTGGAGGTTGGTCGTCGTTAACAGAAAAAAATTATAATAGGGTCTGCCTTTGCCAAAAAAAATTTAAAAGGTTGTCCTAGACAAAAACTGTTTTTTAAAAGGTTGTCCTAGACAAATTTTCCCTTAGTTTTTAGAGAGAGGGAGGGAAAGAAATTCAAAATTCCTGTAAATCAGTGAGAGGGAGAATAGAGAAAATCATAAAGAAAAATGAGAAATTGGGATTTTTTTTTTTTTTTTTAATGTTAAATTTGGGAGGGATTTAATCCCCTTGCATGCTTCCCTAATTTAATTTCTTTTTTTTTTTCCAATTTATCAACAGAATCACTATCTCCAGTTTCCAGTTGATTACATCTTCCTCATGCCAATTCCTCATCATCAGTTTTTCTAAGAGCCAATAGGGTATTCATAAGTCCTATCTCAAAACACATTTAGAGTTCAAAACTTCAAACTAACTATGCACTGATACCACTAGTTCAATAAATTTCAAAAACGCAAAAAATCTCCTTCCTACTACGTAACGAAAGATGGATACATCATACATATTAACATAACTGAACCAAAACACTTGTGATGCCTAAAGCACTTCATCCTCTCCCTACATGAATACAAGTTGGACTATCTCAAAATATCCCTATGCAAACCTACTTCATAATATATTACTACCTTTTAAATCTGCACTAGCTAGACAGACATTCATCTCAATAAGCTATATACTACAATGAATTAAAACTTCATGTCATATCAGATGACTTCTCCGACTTTTGAACAGTCTCCCATCACCATCCCCATGTTCATTTGCATGGGTAAATGTTAACATGAATTACTGCCAGTCAAATGATTTTGGTCAACTAAGTTGTCCATGCCATGGAACACTGAAGAAAATACAGTTTGTAGAAAAAATCACCAAACAAATACGAAGGACACAAACAAAATAAATTCGAAGGAAAAGCTAAGAATTAGATTTTGGAGAGAGACAGAAAGGAATTCAAATTTCCTATAAATAGGGAAGAGATGAGAAAAGTGGAAATCAGAAAGAAAAATGAGAAATTGGTTTTGCTTTTAATTTGTTAGTTTCGAGAGGGAAACAAGCCCCATGAATGCTTCCCAACTTTAATTTTTGTATTTTTTTTTTCCAATTTATCAACAGAATTGCTATCTCCAGTTCCAGTTAATTACATCTTCCTCATGCGAGTCATGCCAATTTCTCATCATCATTTTCCCAAAAGAAACCACAGGGTATTAAAAACTCCTACCATCTCAAAACACATTTAGAGTTCAAAACTTCAAACTAACTATGCACTGATACCACTAGTTCAATTAATAGCAAAAGTGAAGAAATTCTCCTTCCTCCTACATAAAAAAGATGGATATATGATACATATAAACATACCTAAACCAAAACACTTGTGATGCTTAAAGCCCGCACAGAAGAGTCAAGACCAGGCTCCCTAATAGAATGTTCATTCTCTCCCAACATGAAACAAGTTGGACTATCTCAAAATGTCCCAATGCAAACCTACTGCATAACTTATTACTACCTCCTACATCTACACTAGCTAGACAGACATTCATCTCAATAAGCTATATATTACAATGAATTAAAACTTCATTTCATATTAGATGGCTTCTCCAACTTTTCAACATAGTCTCCCATCACCATCCCCATGTTCATTGCCACGAGTAAATGTTAACATGAATTACTGCCGGTCAAATTATTTACGTCAGTCAAGTTGGCCATGTCATGGAGGAGGGGGGGGGGGGGGAGCACTTCAACAGCATCAGAGTAAAAAATCTTGATATGCCATGCATAGCGCTCAATTCAATAATTTGGAGCATGAAAGTAAAAGGACAAAATCCTCCCAAAATTAGAAGAAAGCATGGCGATCAACAAGTTTTGATAAGATTTTCAGAGAAGGAAGATCATTTAACATTGGTTCAGACAAGCATAACAATCACTACAAAGAAGCAACACTTAAAATTTAACATATTTCAGTTCACAATGTTTGATCAAATTATAATTGCTTCAAAGCAATTAGATCACAATAAAGTTTTAACATAGCATGACCCTAGATAGTGAACAAGTTAGCTAAAAATGATACACATGCATACCTTATCTGCAGCATCTCTAAATCTCTTGGCTGCCATTGATGGAAGAAAAGTATATGGCAGCATGACTGAACTATGGTTTAACCTATCCTTGCATTCCACAAACCTGCATTTCTTCCAAGAAGCAATAATAACACAATTAAATTCCACATAGCTGCCAGCCCGCTAAAAAGGCAAATGCAGGAAAATGACAAGAAAGAACGACAAGAAGAATTCTTAAATTACAAATAAAGCTCAAAATATACAAACTAGCAATTGTTCCACATAGAAGCAATTCCGAATTTAAGTATTGGAGAAAATCATTTACCACGCGAGAGGGCTCGCAGTTCGATTTATCAGCAAGAGATTTGCATATTGAGGATCCTCCTTGAGATCCGCTCGGCTAACTCCTTTCACATGAGCCACACCTCTGCCCCCCAGTTTCATAGCAGTAGATAATACATGGTGCCAAACTTCTGAATTGTCTAGAATCACAGGTATCTTGGTGGATATAAGGTCCAAGTCGTACAAAGATTCCATTGCACAGGAGGTAGCGATCCACCTAGAAGACATCGCAAACGGATTTAGATTTGCATCAAGCAAGATTGGTTGCAGCTACCATCAAATCCTTTCCTTCTGGCTGCAAAAACAGGTCTTCCCATTTTTGAGACAATGAGGGAGGAAAATGAAGGTCTCAAAGCTAAATGTACAGAACCCTGAAATTCTGCAGGTAAAGTTATGCACCAAAGAAACTTACGCCTCATCTGAACTTGCTTGACTTGATTGATGCAATAGCCCTTTCTTGTTGTGAATTGGGTTAATACACATCCGAGCAGGCATCACAAAAGTCCTGCAGCATAAAATATGCACAAATCAAGCCATCAAAACAATCACAAAATGTTCAACAGGAAAATTAAAGATATGACACCTAGTTCATTTATAAAACATCCTAAATACATATCCCACAAGTAGAATGAAAAGAGAAATGAAAGGTAAGTAGAGTAAGCATAGGAAAAAAAAAAATCAATGACAATGAGTTTCCTCGACTTTGAGAAAGCTGAGAGTCGAAAAATTAGAACAGGAAGCAATAAGCAACACAATTTATTTAGCAACAATCAAATTACACTAATTCAGCAATCAACATACACTAATTCAGCAATCAATAAACAAGATAACACCCAACAAAAGTCTGAAACACATTCTCAATACAAAGAACAATAATCAGATCCCAACAATTCAAACTACAAAAAAAGGATCATGCATTTAATTCAACAACACCCAGAACTCAAAATCCCAAAAATCCTCAAACAAACCCAAAAAAAACCCTAATCCAGATCAAAATTCAATCAAAAAAATTCAAAAAATGATACCTTTGAAGAAACATGGCCTCTTCAAGGGCACATCGAAGGCTAGATTCCTGATGACCAAGACCAGCACAAGTATCACAATGTTTACCAGGGCAATCAACTCTGTAACCCCAGTACAAGAACTTGTGTTTACTATCAATGGAGATAGTTCCAGATTTGTTGAAAACATGGGGAGTGATTTTAGGAGAAGAGAAAGAAAACCCAGTTGTAGAAATGAAAGAAGAGAAGAGGAATAAGAATGCAATGCCTGTAATTGAAAGTGCAAGCAGTAAGATTGGTTTAGAGAGGTGTGATTTGGGTTTTGGTTGATTTTTAAGGTTTCCCATTTTTGGAGATTTTACAGGGGAGAGAGACAGTCAGTGATTGAGTGTTATAGAGTACTTGTTGCGTGAAACGAACAGTGTGAAAGATCACTGAATTTCTGGTTCGACCAATCGACCCTCGTTAATTTGGCACCAAAGTGGAAGAAGAAAAGTTAAAAATTGTTTTTTCTTTGGAAAAATTCACATGATTAATATATTCTACCCAAATTAATCTCAACTATGGATTATTATAGAATAATCCTAACTATGAAGAGTGTCTTCCGAAAATGATCCGGTGACTTGTAACCGGTTAAGTAGGTAAAGTTTTTTTTATATTTTTATTTTAAACATCACTCTCTCTCCTCCCCGTGCCCAGCTCCATAACCACCGGTCCACCACTCCTATTTTGCTCCCCTCCACCACCCAGCCACCTACGTATGTGCACCATTTTTTTGCTTGCCCTTAATGGCTCAATGTCTTCTTTGCTGCTCTCTCCTCTTAATGCCATTGTTGACCACTGTCGACCTCGGCTGCGATCACGACCTTCCCATTCTTTCCTTTCGGTGGGTGGTTTGAACAAATAACCACCATTTATCGCTTTCTTTGTTAGCCACAAAACACCGCACACCATATCTACACCACTGATCAGCGTATTGCCGTATTACTACTTTTACTCAACACGCACCGATCAAGTTCAGCTCCTCCGATCCCTCATATTTCCATTGCATTTTCATTCCCTTACTTCATCTTGCCCCTAATTTCTCTCCTCTTCATTAAAAAGTAATGATTGTTGTGTTTTTTCATTTAAAATCAATGGACAAACAACAATAATTTATATAATGAAAAATCATAAACGACAATGATAGTTTATATAAGTAGTATAGATAGGTTGTACAGTAGTTGTATGTTGTTGTATTGGAATTTTTCTCATTGCTGTCATGTTCAATCAACAATGTAAGCTCTTCTCTTTCTGTCTTCTTCCCTGAACTCAATAATTTAAAAAGGACAGGGTCGATTTTTTTTTTTTTTGTAAGATATATTATTGCAGATTGTTTTAAAAAAAAAAAGTATAAGCCAATCACAATATGCCACCTCATACAAACAACCGGTTTAATAAGTTTAAACAGGTCACAAATCAATTCTATAAGACACCTCCCATAGTTAGGGTTATTCTAGAATAACCCATAGTTGGGATTAATATGAGAAGACATCCAATAGTTGGGATTAATGGTATGAATTTTTCCTTTTTCTTTTATTTTTTTAATTAATCCGAATGAGCCAATATTACATTTACAGCATCTAATCTGTGTGGCTGGCCATAGTGTGTGGCCGACTGACACATGAATAAACCATTATTGGGTAACCTCTGACTTACTTGGCTATGTACATAATCCCTCAATTTTAACTACTCCGTAGAATAATTAGTGTGTCAATATCCCATTTGAAAGTAAAGATTGAATTGTGAAATATCTAGTTTAGTTGTTTTTGAGGATATGAATTTATTAAATTAATGTTTTTTAACTTATAAATCGACTATCGGTATCAGTTTGGTATCATTGTCAATAGGTTTTTTTTCCGTTCAATTTCTTTCTTTTATTTTGAAATAAACTTATAAACATAAATCGAGAATTTGTTTTCATTTTGACATCATCTAAAGAGGTTTATTTAAATTAACATTGATGCCAAAATTATAACCGAAGCACTATGAACGAATTCTCTATGGACTCCATCCATGCATGTTATTTGCCCTAATAACATTTTTTTCTTAAGATTTCGACCAAACTTAACCCTCACTGTTTTACCAAACTCAACCCTCACAGTTTTACCAGGCTTTATAGTTTTACCAAGCTAAATACTTCTAGAATCAAAGGCATTTAAGTCTCTTACCAAGTCAATCAAGTTTTACTAGTTGAAAATTGAATTTGGTAGGTCATAGGCCATGTATTTGATACATATAAATGGACATTCATTTTATAGTTGAGTAGATGAAAATCAAGGTAGTGTCTTAAAAATTTTCAATTTTCAAAATCATATTGGAGCTGGTTGACGTCAAAAAATCAACCTAAGAGTGCAAATTCTGAACCATCAATGAAATTTGGTGGAATTGGTGGGTAACTCATCTTGTAATTTTTAGGGCACAAGTTAAAGTTACCAACTACAATTGCTTGGGAGTAAGGGGATTCTTGTGCCTCTTCCACTTTTACTCTCAAACTTTGACCTACGTTAGCGGGGTGGTTTAACCTATGAGATGTGTTGGTTAGTCGGGTCCTTCATCTTACCTCCCCCCCAAAAAAAAAAAAAAAAAATTAAAGCTATGAAATTAACAGTCTAACCCTGTAAATAAGCTAAGGGTTTGTTCTGATTGACTGAACTGAGCTGAACTGAACTAAACTTATTAGAGTTGAACTGAACTGAACTTATTAGAGTTGAACTAAACGTCTGAACTAAACTGAAAATAATCGTATGAGAACATGCCCTAACTTGTTGTCCAATCTGTCCATCCACCATGCTGGATTATTTGTGCATAATTTACGTGAATGATAGCTAAATTAGTCCAAATCCAATTAAAGCCCAACCCAGTACAAAGAAAAATCCTAATCCAAATTCATTCAAATAAATTATAAATTCAAGTCTGAATCCAAACAAAGCTAGATCCAACGGCATTACTGAACTTATTCCCATATTAATATTCTTAATTGCTCTTCCAACATGTCCCATTTTATTCTTGACGTTACTCTTTGCTTGTGACATAATAAAGTATAATCTTTGCCATCTTATAGTTGTTAGGTTCAATAAACAAAGGATGAATCCAATTTGAAATCTATTGTGTATCTAAAACAAGAGTAGTTGAAACCAAACAATACATAATATATCATCAAATATCGTAATATAAGAATTGAAATCAGCTTGATGTTGTTCACTGTTGAGGCGACGACTAAATAAATGAGGACAATTCATGATGAAGTTATGTATATCAGTATAAGCAAAATACAATAGCAAGTCTCATTACATAATATGCCATGGATCATCTTCGGCTTATACTTCGGTCAGTCCATATTGCTACTGACTTGATCAGGCACAATTTTTTCCCCTAATTATTGAGAAAAACGTATGCATAGAGTACACAGGATGTACCTAAAAAATAACAAAACCTTGATTTTCGCTTCCAGCAGTTCACTACTCTAAAAATCTAAATTTCCATCTGTACATTTCTCTACCTTTTACGTTCCAGCACCAGCAAACACTATCCTAAGACGAAACATTTATATGATTTTGAAGGAAGCAAAGAAAAGAAAAGAAAAAGACTGAAATAATGCAGGAGCTTTCGGAGGCTCATTAGTTGTCAGATATAAGGGTTAACATTAATGTGCAGCTAAGCTTCCATGAATAGGAACCTTTCATCTGAAGAAAAGATGGTTTGCTGTGAGGAAATTTACCCGCTGAGTATTAAGAAACTCAGACCATAGAAGTTTTCTTACACCAGTTATGCCTTCTGAAATGTGCGAGAAGAGACTCCATGTAGAAGTCTAACAAACCCGAGAAAACTAAGCTTTCCATCAGAATGTCTAATCCAATCTTGAAGAACCACGTGCACGGGTACTGATGGACCAAGTCCAAGCTCCTGTTGGAATAAATAACGACATTCAGAAAAACACGAAAAAATAAAGCAAATAGTTCCTCTAGAATTCACGTCATAATTAGCTCAAAGTAGGTACACTTCTATGAAGGGTTTCATGTTTCCTAACTAGTCTATACTCAACATATAGTAAGCCGCACACAGAACAGCATAAAATGGGAAAAGATTCATATAAAAAAAAACAGTATAATGCTTTCAACTAACCAAATGACTTAAAGTTATTCACGCTCATTGTTCAAGTAATTTCTAAATATGATTGGTAAGCTTAATTCAAAATAAACTAGTTTAAGTAGGAATTTTTTTTCAAACTAAAAGTTTGTAACCTTAGTATTTACAGCTACAAGCCATACAATCATCTGGGGAAAGTACTACTAATATGATCCTAAAAGTTGCGTCAACTCAGTGGAAAGGCAACTACTATGCATGGATTAAACTCATCAAAGCACCAGACTATCATACTATTCTTAGCTAAAGCTGTTTCAAAAAGTTTCCCATGTAATGAAAGAAACGGCAAAAAAATTACATACCGAGGCCAGTTCTTCAATCATTATTGGTCTGTTACCATCCTTCTCAAACAGCTCATAAGCACGCCGTGCATGTTGCTCCCAGGTTTCCATTGCTTCTAGTTGATGCACACTTATGGCTGCGGCGCAAAATTCTTCAAAATCCATCTTTCTGTACTGGATTGAACTAACCTGCATAGCACATTAGCTACTTCACGTCATTTAATTCTTCGGAGGCAAAATCAATCAGCGTCCAAAAAGAGCACAAGAAGATACAGATGAATGGAAAAGGCACAAACCAGGTTGACATATTCAATAACTCGGGAATCCTTCATAGCATCTGTAGCATTCCTCAATACAGCCTATAAAATTAACAGCAATGTTAGGAAGACTTTAGAGCAAGGAAGCTAGAAGTGTGCTTGGATGAGAGGATTTAAAGAGAATAAAAAGGAGGGAGTACGGGTCCATATTCCATTATTTCAGTACGATATGGGAAGAGAAGGAGAGGGAAGGATGTAATTTTGATCCCTTTTTTAACAAACCAAACCCTTCCCTTCCCTCTTAATCTATCCGCTAACCCAACACTATTGATATACAAACACACCATAAAGTAATAGTTGGCGTGAAACTTACTGCCTTAAAATTTTGCATTGATATGTAGCCATTTTTGCTTGGAGATAGCATCTGAAACTGTTCCTTCATATAAGCTAGTTGAGGCACAGTTAACGTCTTTGCAAGAGCCTGTCAACAGCAAGCACTGTTATTAGATTTACAACAAAAGGAGTCTTGAGGAAATTTGTATCACAAGATCCATACTAAAGTTCCACTAACAAGAGGAAAAATCAAATGTATTAGCCTACCCCAAGAGCTGCTTTCCGCAAAGAAGATGAGCATATGTAAGCTCTTACAAGCCTGTACACTATCATATCCTGGGGGATCTTATCGTCCTGGTGATAACCAGAAAGCCATGGATGACCTAGACAAAAATAAGCAAAAGTATTTTAGCAATAGAATCGCTAGCAGTTAAGCCTAGAAAAGACAGAAACAGTACAAAAAAAAAATTATCTCTAGACAACAAATTTTTTTTAGAACTTACTAAGTGCCTGAGCAGCAGTTAATCGCTTTCGGTAATCCTTGTTTAATAATCTTTTGACAAAGTCAATTGCCTCTGGTGATAAAGAAGGCCAAGGGGCTTCATCAAAACTAGGGTCAGCCTTCAAGACAGCCCGGAATATTCCAGATTCTGTGCGAGACCAGAAGGGACGGCTTCCACATAGTAGAATATAAGCAATTACCCCAATGCTCCACATATCTGCCTCAGTCCCATAGGCTCTGTGGAGAACTTCAGGAGCTACATAATAAGCACTTCCTACGATATCATTTAATCTCTCATCTGCAAGAATATAGACAAGCATTAAGGGCCTATTCACACTGCAAGAAAGATGTGCAATTGTGCATCAAGTAGTGGAGTTACCTGGCTTTACATAGTCCGACAATCCGAAGTCAATAGCCTTAAGAGGGGCATTCTCATCTTTGGATGTAAATAGAAAATTCTGGATGAAGGATCAAGGATCAGGGTGAAAGATAAATGTTAAATTAAATCACGAGGATAATTAAATCAAATTACCCGATAAACATATACAGAAAAAGATATCCTTC